TAATTAAGCATTTTAATGATTTGGCCGATTAATCGGAAAAATAATCAACAGATTAATCGATTATTATTAAAATAATTGTTAGTTGCAGCCCTAGTCACCCACACATTGCTTAGAAATTTTGTGGAAGTTTATGAAATTTAAGTAACGTAAAAAAATAAATAAATAACCTCAGCAAACCCAAGGTTCGGCACGAGGGCGACCCAAGGAGTCGTCAACTGAAAGAAGGCATCAAAATACTGATGCTCCTCTAGCTAAATGCCTTTTCACCTGGCTCTTGTGCTACGGGGGTGAGACCATGCATTGGGCAAATACCTGATGCCAGAGTTCACTCCTCTCTACACCAAGGAGTAGAAAATAGGGAAACATGAAGGAAACAAACAAGCAGGTAAAATGAAAATTATCGAGCTCATTCTAATTTATCATGCGATTAATTTATTGTTTGTTTATTGCAACAGGCCTACCTCAACACTTTTATCAAATAGGATGTTTTCACTAAGTGCTTGAGAAATGTTTTAACAATGTCACAAACTATGACTAGTACCTATTAACATAACTTTTGAAAAACAATTATAGTGATTCAAAAGAACAAAAAAATTGTATAAAACATTTTAACTAGGCTGAGGTAACTGATCAGTAGTGAGTGCAGAAAAAATAAAGTAAAAATTTGGGTTGAGTGAAGTTGGCAAAAAAAATCATGATTGTGGTATTTAGTCAATAATAATTATTATGATAATTACTATATGACAATTACACTTGCATGTTTTTGATTCTAAATCTGTTACCCTGTGTTCTAAAACTACATTTATAAATCATCAGTCTAACCAACATCTTTATTCTAACAGGTTACATTAATAAGCTGTGAACTGAAGCTCACCTATTCCACCATGGAAAGTGGGGCTGGGCGATACGGCCTAAAATCAATATCACAATATATTGACCAGTTCACCTCGATAACTCTTACCACCCCCCACCACACACAAGTACACAGTAGTCATAACACTATACAGTGTCCATGTTCTTAGTAAAGGTTCACAGTTTAGATTTTGAACAGCTTTTCTGTAGTTTATATTTGTCATTTTAGTGTTTTTGATATAATTAAAGGAGACCAATTATGGGTCCTAGAAATTTTTATGGTATGTCTGTGGGCTATCCAGACCATGTTCATTCAATTTAATGCACAAAATAATTCTCAGATAATAAAATTTCCCATTTTCTAGTTCTGCCTGCTCTGACTTCCGTTCAGAAGAGTGGTTTATGTTAATGAGCTCTGTTGGTATTTTTTAACCTGAGGAGGTGGAGTCTCACCCGGGGGTTGGTTGGTAAGGGGCTGAATGCAGGTTCTGTTGGGTTGTCGTACGG